GAGCCTCCCAGCCTGCCTCCTCCCCCCCACTGCTGCCTCTGATAGGAGGCAGCAAGGGGGAGGAGAGGCGGTCCACAGAGCCAGCTCCTTGTACATACTGACTTCTGCCTGCCCCCCCCCCCCTTCCGCGCTGCTGCCTCTCTATCAGAGGTAGCAGCACAGAGGTGGGGGGAGGAAGAGACAGAGCTGGTACTCATGGGGAGCCGGCTTAAGAGCTGGCTCCCCACAGGGACTGGCTCCTGCGTCCCCCTTTTACTGCCTCTGATACAGGGAGGGAAAGTGCGTGTAGTTGACAGGATTAACTGATAAGCCCAGGCTTATTGGTTAATCATGTAGTCATCTACACATTGACATCCCTAGCACTCAGAACTCCTTTCCCAGGGCCAGTTATGGGGGGGTGGGCGAGGTGTGTGTGGGGGAGGGGTCAATTCCCACTCTCCAGCTCAGAGATCCAGAAGTATAGATAGCCAGATACTTGGTCTTAGGCTTGCAGAGTTTCCTGTGGGCCATCTACTCCTCCTCTAGGGGCATGCTGGGAAGCGCTGTTGCCAAGAAACTTCTAGCTCTCCTCCTCCCCCTCCCATGGGCATCCTGTGGCTTAGGCAGGGGAAGGCTTTGCCTTCCCAAACCACCAGCCTTGCACCACCCACAGTCCGTCCCTAGAATGCCTACTAAAGGCCTTCTCGGGACAGAGCATTGCTGCCCCCAGCTCCTGCCCTCCCTGTGCTCCCAGCTGAGGAGGCTGGAATCACACAACTGACTCCCATTTCCTGGTGCTCCAGGATCTGCACCACGTGCACACTCCCTTCACCTCTCTGCCCCTCCCCAATACTCTGGGGAGTGCTCGGTATGCTGACCCACTTCTCTGCCCCTCCCTCCAGGGAGGCCATGCTGTGCTTGGCGTGCTGCCCTGTCTGATTCCCTAGGAGGGCCATGCTCAGGATGCTGTTCTGCCTCATTCCCTGCCTGTGGGGAATGGGACCTCAGGAGAGAGGGTGGGGCTATAGGTGGGGCTGGGGGAACCAATTTCTGTGGAGCAATGGAAATTTTGTGAGTACATTAAATTTCTGAAAAATTCTGCATTGTGCAGTGGTGCACAATTCCCTCAGAAGCAAGAGGACAAAAGGAAGGTACTTAAGGTTAATGAAATGGCAAGTTATGCCAAAAAAAAAAAAAAAAAAAAAAAAAAAAGGAGAAGCTTCCTCTTAAGGGGAAAAAATACTTCATCTTCAGAAAAAACACCATAATGTCCCTCT